AATCCACCCGCCTCGGCCTCCCAGAGTGCTAGGATTACAGGCGTGAGCCACTGCACCTGGCCGAGTCCTTGAAATTTATTTGTTGAAGAAACCTGGTCCTGTGGAGTTAGTATCCTACTAAGTTAGTGTTCCCTCCTCCCCATCTTGTGATATTGTTTAACATGTTCCTCTGTCCCTTGTCTATATTTTTAGAATTATCATCATAAATTAAAATGGGCCTTTTGGATACACAGTTCTATAAATTTTAACACAATTATGCATGTAAAGATTTATGTAACCACTACCACATCAGGGTACAGTTTCATCACTGCCCCCAAACTCCCTCGGGCGATTCTTTTATAGTTATATACTCCTCCCAGACCTAACCTCTGGCAACCATGGGTCTGTTTTCTGTCACTGTAGTTTTGTCTTTTTGAGAATTTCATATAAATAAGTCATATGGTAGGTAAGTTTTCAAGAGTGACTTCTTTTATTCAACATAATGCCTTTGAGATTTATCCAAGTTATATGTACCAATAGTTTGCTCATTTTTATTGTTAAGAGTGTTCCATTGTATCTATGTGCTGTACTATGGCTTGTTTATCTCCTCACCTATTGAAGGACACTTGGGATGCTACCTGTTTTTGGTGATTATGAATGGAGCTGCATAAGTGTTCAAGGACAGGCTGTCATATGAACATAAATCTTCACTTCTCTAGGGTAAATACGCAGGGTGGGATTTCTGGTTATATGGTATAAGTGTGTTTAACTTTATAAAAAATTGCCAAACTATTTTTAGGAGTGGTTGTGCTATTTTGCATTCTCATCAGCAATGTGTAGGGTTCTAGTCACATTGCAACCTCAAGAGTGCTTGGTATTGGCAGTCTTTCTATTCTAGCTGTTCTAATAGGTGTGTGGAGGTATGGCTCTTTGTTCTGAAAAATACATTGACGGGCTTCTTAGCTTTTGAAAGGTGAGACCCTCTCTCTTGCTTCTTCCCCCATGGTGGTCTGGAGAGGGTAAAACAAAGCGGAGGCATTCATTACTCTGCCTACGTTAGCGGGATTTTGAATTTTCAAAGGGGATCCAGGAGAGAGGGGCTAGAGCTGCACCAAGAAGAGAAGAGAAAGGGTGAGGAGGAAGCGGGGGTGCCCATTGTGGGCCAGAGTGGGCTGGGGTAGGATGCTGGTCTTGGGGTCTGGAAGCCACAGGCGGAAAGCAGCTGTGCTGCAGACTGACAGGGGAGTGAGGGTCTGGCTCAGGGATCCATGGGCACTGGGAGTGGAGGGTGGCACCGAACTTCCTGCAGGACTGGGATAGGGCCTGAGTGTTTGGCTGAGTGTTAAAGGAATGGAGACCCTGGAGGGTTGGGGGACTTTGAGGACACTAGATTACATTTCAAAAACAAGCCTTACCATGCTATTCCCCCATCAGGCTCTTCATTGCTTCCTACTTCCTGAGATCACAACCTGACATCTTCATGTGACATATAAGGCCTTCCAGACAGGGCCCAGCCTAACTCTCCAACTTTATCTCCAAACACCACACCTCCTTCCATACTGCCTGTTCCAGCTAGAGGGAACCGCTTACATTTGCTTAAAAGCTTTGAGCTCTCCCGAGCCTTGCGTCCTTTGCACATGCTTCCCTTTGGTGGGAATGCTTTTTCCCCACCTTCGTTCGGCTTTGACACATCCTGCTCTGTGAAGCCCTCGCTGATCAATTTCCCTGTCTGCCCTCCCCTGCCCCACAAGCAGAGTTGCATGCCCCTGTCCGTGTCGCCACCAGGCCTTGCACAAACCTCCATGTTTGCACTCAGCAGTGTGCCTCATACTTTCGTATTGACACGTTTCTCACCCTCACTACTGTGACCTCTGTGGGAGCAGGCACCAGCTCTTGTTTGTCGTTGTGACCCTAGGACCTGGCAGTTCTGGGCTCAGAGCAGATACTAAATAAATGTGAATGAGTGAGGGCTGAGGGTGGACATCCCTTCGGGGGCTCTGACACTCTAATGATCATCTGTCCCTGTCCTGCCTGAAATACCACACTTGTTTATGAAAAGTATCTGTAATAAAGCTGGATACAGTTTGGCCTGGAAAAAAAACAATCCAGCTCAGAGTAGGGGGCTCAGCTGGACACAGATGTGTCTGATTTGCTGTGCCCCCTCTGGGTGCTGCTCTATCTTCTCATGAGCAACCCCGCCAGCATCTTGCTGGGACCCTACATCTACAGCATCCTCTGGTCTACCATGTAAGCTGCCCCTTTTGAAAATGAGATAGTCAGTCTGTCGTAATGTGTCCCTAGTAAGGCCTTGCTGGTCCCTGAGGTCTCATGGTGGGAGGGGGTGCATGCCTCCACAAATTTATATTGAGTCCACTCTCCTGAAGCAAACCCAAGGTCTCTGTGGCTGTCTCTCGGTGGTGTGCCTTCTGGCTGTGCCTCCTGTTGCTCTCATCAGATAGGGAGCTCTCTATGAAGTGGCTGCAGCTCACCTTTCTACACCTTCTTCCCCACCTTCCTCCCGCATCCAGTACTCTACAGGTTTTGGGTGTGAAAGCATATGGGCCGAATCTTCACACAACACAACATCCCCTTGTCCTTGGGAAATACCATAGCACGACTGAGTAGCAGTCTGCATTGCAAAGTCAGTGCCACATCCCTGTGGCTGGTACATAGTTAGAAGGCACAGCCTACCTGGTTATGATAAACTCTCTGTAACAAGTAAGTGATGCCAGGTCTCAAGTGTTCTGACTAATTCCCATCAGGCCATGGGACATACTTGTGCAATTTTACTACAGAGAGATTCCACCTGAGGGGTGAGTGGAAACAGAGATTTGCCACACCCTCTGCTAGCCAAGTTCTCCACTTCTGGAGCTGCTGCTTCTTGCGGGGAGGTGGCACCTTTATCTAATGTGCAGAAAGGCACATAGAAATTAGGTGTGGCCCTGATTAGCCTCATTTAAAGTCATTTTTTCCAAGCTGGTTGCTTGTCCGGGTGCTGTTTACCTTGTAGAAAGAGGAAGAATGCCAACTTCTCCCTCCTACACCACTGCCCCACACCCATCCAAGAAGGGCAAGTGTTTGGGTCCCTCCTGCCTGGTGGGGGCTTTCCTAACCCTTGTGGCCCTCACTGAGCCTGGTCCTCTTCTCTAGCTCTCTGATCACAGTTCGTCTCCTGGGACCCTGCGCTGCTCTGGTGTATAGTCTTGCTTCACCTGTTGAATTAAAAGCCTTTGAGCACAAGGGCTGGGTCTCCTGACTTTCCCTCATGCCCAGGCTGCATCTGGGCATTGGAAGGCATTCACTTGGGGTTTGGAAACAAGTGGATGAGCCATAGCTGTGTCCATTTCCTTTCTTTAGTCCCTCCCAACCGTCCCCACTGCCCACCAAAAGCAACTTCACTCCTTCTGACCCTGAACATTCTGGCTTTCAACTTTCACACGCAGAAGAATCATCTGCGGAGCTTTCAGAGTTTCTGATGCCCAGGCTGAACCCTAGACCAATGAAACCATAATCTCTAGACATGAGATCGGGCACCAATATCTTTCCAACATGCTGCCAAGTTTGAGAAGGTGCTAAGACTAGAGGGTAGATTGGGGAATAGATAACATCCCCTTTTCTAAGTTCTCCTGGATTTAAATATCTCTTTGCCAATAAAGTTCAAAGGGCCTCTCTCTAAGCCATTTTACAGCCTGAATCCAAGTGTTCTTCCTAAAACACAGATCAGATGGTGTCACTGATGGAGCCACTGTCAGTGGCTTCCCAGCGCCTGTTGGTAAAGTCCAAACTCCTGGCATGCAGACCAGGTCCCTTGTGCCTCCAACCTTACTGACCTCTCCAGCCTCATCACTCGCATCCCTTTCCTCAAAGCTTGTACTATGGGCACACTAAAGTTTTTGAAATTTCATGAACATGTCATGGTTCCACTTGTCCTCAGGACTCCTTGTATCTGCAGCTATATGCAGACAGCCGTGCTTTCTGATGGCATCTGATTTTGAACTGCTTCTCACATCTGGATGCTAAAAGTTAGCCCCCTGCCAGAGGGTCTGGTTGCTGTCAACCCATATTCTTTGATTTTTCATTAAATCTGTAGAGAGTGAGATTGCAAAGCCCTCCTTAGCACTCCCTCTGAGAGTCTGCTTCCTCTGTAGAAAGTTCTCTGAAACATCTAGCTGAAGACATGGTCAGTGAGATGCAACACTGTCCCCGTCTTGGTCCCAGGAGATGGGGCCACAGAGGGGTCCCCCATGGCTTCATTATCTGTGTGGTTTTCCTGCTCTTACCTGCACCATGGTGTGGGGGGCGAGCAGGTCCTCCACTTGCTCTTTGTTCTCTGCCTGTTCCCCCTCCAGTGGGTGCCAGATTGCCAACAGAAGAAGGGTCCAGGCTGGCAGCAGGGCTTGGGTGTTGGAGATCTGGCACCCAGAGGCTGAGGACTGGTGAGCGTGTGTGGGGGTGGCCCCAAGCCTGGCTGAGTGTCTGTTCCATGCCACTGAAGCCTCTTGTCTCACCAATTATGTGAATAACCAAGAGTCAGCTGCTTTTCTAATGCACTCAAGTCGGGCATGACAAATGATCCTGGCAGGAGAGAGAAACAGGTCCCAAAAGAATGTTCCTGAAGATTGTAATTAGTATGTCTATCTTTCCATTCCTTGTCCAGAGCGCCCATGCTCATGCTGAGCTTGGAACAAGAAGGCAGATGCAGAGGTGGAAACATGAGCATTGGTGGAACATCTTAGCTTTCCCTTCTCCTTTTGTTTTCCTCTGCAAAAGTCCCTGTGCCCACTCAGCCCAGCATGAGGGCTGTAAGTTTTTGGCGAGAGCCCTAGAATGTGCAGGGCATTCATTTGATGGCCTGGGGGGGGCGTTAGGTGTCACTCTGAACCATTCAGGCGTGAGGTGGTTGGGTTAAAGTCCCTTATACAGGGTGAAGAGTCCTGTCCTAGCTGGCTGGGTATTGTCCGGAGGTCAGGAGAGTTATTTGCTCTGGAGAAGGAGCAAAAGCTTTACCTTATACACTATGGGTGACCCCAGCATCCTGAGGTCCCACCACAGTGGATGTAGTTCCCAGGAGAGTTGATGGGGCTTTTTCTCAGGAGGACCACACTCTACATAATTACCCAAGACAGAGTCTCCTGTCAGCCTCTTATTTCTTAAGAGCTGGGATCTGACTGACGGAAGCCAATGACCCAGGTAACTGGAGATGGGAAGAGCGTGGAGAATCACCTAATTACAGCAGATGCCTTGAAGTTTGGGGTTGGGTCCCAGTAGGAAGCAGCCCATCCCTCAAAGGGGAGCCTAAGTATTTTTCTGCCTTGGATCTGGTGAGGAAAAAACAAGACTAATGTCGGAGAAATCAAAGCAACTGGTGACTCCAGGGTTAGGACTAAGGTGTTTTTGGGATTTGAGGGATTGACTTATTTTGGCTAGGAAATCAAGCTCAGGAAATCATCAAATCAATGGACCAACGCACTGGGGCCTATAAAAGGGGCCACTTCTCTCCCTGTGTCAGAAGGTGCTCTTTCCTCCGAGGCTTTCTGAACCAGGACATCTTGCTGCATCCACAGAAAATGATGAGCCAGAAGTCCAGCAGAGCCTCCCAGGCCACCCAAGGCTCCAGTGGCCGCTCTGCCATCGTGGTGTCTGGCCAGAGCCGCAGCAGCTCCAAGTCCCAGTCTGCCTCTCGCTCTGGGGGAGGCAGTGCCTCCTTGGCCTGTGCTATGATGGGGGGCACCTTTGGCAGCAGGAGCCTGTACAGCCTTGGGGGCAGCAAGAAGATCTCGCTGAGTGTGGCCGGAGGTGCTGCCCAGGCTGGGGGTGCGACACGGGGGTGTTCGGGTGCCTTCGGGGGCAGCCTGTGTGGGGCTGGAGGAAGAGGCATGAGAAGTGGCTTTGGAGGAGGCTCCTTCAGGGTTGGGGGGAGACTGGGCAGCTTTGGAGGAGCACCTGGTGGAGCTAGAGGCCTTGGGAGTTCGGGGAGCTTTCCCCTCGGCATCCAGGGGGTGACCATCAACCAGAGCCTCCTGCAGCCCCTGAACGTGGGGATCGACCCCCAGATTGGGGAAGTGAAGACCCAGGAGAAGGAGCAGATCAAGACCCTCAACAACAAATTTGCTTCCTTCATCGACAAGGTGAGTGCCCGTGGTGGGGGAGGGGCCATGGCCCTGAGAACCCCTGTGGCCTCCCAGGTTAGGGGGCCTGGGTTTGGGGGGCAAGCCTGCTCCTGAGCCGGGGCTGGGCAGGCCACAACCTCTCCTCCATGGTCGATCACAGGTGCGGTTCCTGGAGCAGCAGAACAAGGTGCTGGAGACCAAGTGGTGCCTCCTGCAGCAGCAGACGGCCACCTCCAATGCCAGCGCCGATGACCTGCAGCCCTTCTTTGAGTCTTACATCAGCTGCCTGCAGGCCCACCTGGACAGGCTGCTGACGGAGCGGGGCCGGCTGGACGGGGAGCTGGGCACCATGCAGGCACTCATGGAGGAGTACAGGAGGAGGTGAGAAGCGCTGCCCGTGAGCTGAGGCTTAGGTGCCAAGGCCGTGAGGCCGTCTGGCCTCTGTGGGCCTTGGGCAGGGAGCCGGGGCTGTGAGTGAGGAAGGAGCACACGGGGCTTGCTGGAGCACCTGCCGTGCGCCACTAGGTGTGAGCACCAGCTCTGGAGCCAGGCTGCCGGGTGCAGGCTTGACTACGTCACCTTCCAGCTGCACAATCACAGGCGATTTATTTAACCATTTTGTGCCTTAGTTTCCTTATTTGTAAAATGGGGATGATAACAGTTGTATCTACCTGAGAGATTTGTCGTGAGAGTTAAATAATTTAATATATGCCGAGCATTTCGAACAGTGCCTGGCTATTGCTAATTAATTAATATTAATGAAATTTTAGCAACCAAATAGATTATTAATAATAATTATTTCATCATTATTAAATTACATTAACTACAGTGGACATACAACAAAGTGTATCGAGCGCCTGCTCTGTGCCTGGCCCTGTGCTAGGTGCTGGGGTGGCCACTGGGCACACGTGGCCTGCTGTGTGGGGTAGCAGACTCCTTAGCCGGTGGCAGCAGCAGCAGAGATGAGCCCCCCGTCAGGGCCTGGACTGCGGGAGGGGCGGGAGAGAGAAGCCCAGGGTTCTCCCTGGGAGTTGCGGGCCCTGTGGGCCTGCAGTGCTGACTGAGGAGCGCAGAGGCAGCCTGGAGCTGGGCGTGGGGAGGCCTCAGTGTGGGGGACGGCAGGCTGTGTGGGCAAATCAGAGGACTGGGCGTGATGAGACTGCCTTCTGTCCAGTCTCTCTGGCCTGGAGGAGGGCCGGCTCTTGCCCGTTGTGGGGACCATCACCCACGTTCTGAACATCTGTGCTAGTGCTAGGCAGGGCTGGGAGGACTCGGGGCTCAGTGGGTCTCTCTACTTGAGAGAGAGATTTCTGCTCGGTTCGCCGCTGGGATCCTCAGCCTAGAGCAGAGGGCAGCGCTGGGGCCAGCCAGGGACCGTGTCCAGCACAGCCCTGTAGCATCACTGCGGCTGAGCGGTTGCTCCTCCCGCAGGTACGAGGAAGAGGTGAACAAGCGCACAGCGGCTGAGAATGACTTTGTGCTTCTGAAGAAGGTGGGCAAGGACTGGGGCTGGGTGGGGTCTGGGTCTGGGGCTGGGGGTGGTCAAGGCCAGGTTGGACAGTGCTCAGCAGGGGGAAGGCCAACTTCCCACTGTGCCTGGGGGACTTTCCAGGACTGTCTTAGCGCTGCCAGCCTGATCTTTTCTCAAATGTCGCACTCTGCTTCCCTTATCATTAGACTAGTGCCGGAGAGGCCTGGGTGATGGGAGTGAGAAGTGATGGGGAGAGGGTGAGACATGGAGAGTCTCCTGAGCTGAACCTGCCCCAGGCTGGGGACAGGGGCACACACGAGCCCTTGCAGGTCCCTGTCACTGGGTACCTTATCTCTTTCCAGGCAGAAATCCTGCTATCTTTTTTTTTTTTTCCCCTGTGACCAAGCTGCTTCCCCAGACTATAAGGGCTCAACAGCGGCCAAGTTGCTTTGAGCTCTGTGGGATACAATTGCCACTTTTCTTGTTGCAATGAGGCATTGGCATCAGCCATGAGAGCTCTCTTTAATTCCTGAGTCCCATTTTCAAGTCACGCTTACCCTGAGTAGTCTAATGACCAGGGTAACAATGTTTTCCATTTCCCTTCATAACAATTGTAATCGTTGACAAGTACGTATTTTAAACAAACGAGGATGTGCTAATTGCTGATCTGGTGTTCTCCCTCCCTAGGAAGTGGACACTTCCTACATGGCCAAAGTGGACCTGGAGGTCAAAGTGCAGAGTCTGATGGACGAGATCAACTTCCTGAGGCCCCTCTTTGAGGCTGTAAGGCCCTGCTCTATCCCATCATGTGCTTAAGATGTGACTGATCTTCTCAAGCCTAATTCTTTTCATTCTTGGCTTTGTTTCTCACGTTGATTACCACACCATCTACTCGGATTCTGAGACCTCTGAAACCATCCATCTATCAAATATCTTAACTCCCCTTCCTTTCTTTCCCCCTTTTCTGTGTCCCCCATCTGTGCCAGCACCTATGGGTAACATTTTCCAAGTCTCCTCCCCCATCCAAGGTGCCTGGACGCCCCTGCAGCAGGATCGGGACAGAGGCCCCTTCCTTCCTTTGCCTGTACCTTGGTCATCACATTTTTAGTGTCATTACTGAAAGTTAACTTTGGGGGTTCGCTGTCCATTAGATGTGAGCAGGATTGGCTTTGTGTCTACAGGAATACAACCAGCTCCTGTCGGAATCCAATGACACATCCGTCATCCTGTCCATGGACAACAATAGGCACCTGGACCTGGACAGCATCATCGCCGAGGTCAAGGCCCAGTACGAGGACATCGCCCAGAGGAGCAAGGCTGAGGCCGAGGCGCTGTACCAGACCAAGGTGGGTGATTCAGGCCACCTGGAGGAACCAGCTTTCTCTTGGGGCCTTCATTCCTGCCCAATTTAGCCACCCAGGTCCCAAACCCCTATGCAGTCCTCAAGGACAGCCAGGGACCCTCTGAAAACTGGCTCACAGAAACACAGACTCCCCAGGACCTCCAGCCTAGATAAACGTGACCAAGCATTCAGGTGATCAGTTAGAGCTTGGCGTGGAGGTGATGGGAAAGCTAATGACCCTGATTTGATCACTACACAATCTATGCATCTATTGAAACATCACACTGTCCCTCGTGAATATGTACAATTATTATGTGCCAATGAAAAATAAAATAGAACTAAAAAGAGCTTGACAAATCATAGCAGGGCTGAAGTTAGCCCATAGAGTGCCTTTGTGCTAGTTAGAAAAAGTGCCCTCTGAGCAGCTGCGGCAATGTGGGCCATGGCTTGGCTAGGAGACTGCAGGCCGGGCTTTGGCTCCCACTTGCATCCTTGGCCAAAATTGGAGGCCTACTCACCACCATCACCACCACCACCACCACCACTACCATCCTCCTCATCTTCATCATCATCAGCTGAGCAGGTTGGTAAGCAAAGCTAACCCAGTAGGACAAGCAGCAATCTTTCCTATTTTTTGGATTGGAAAAACCTCCCAACTGATCTCAAGTGCTTTCCTTCCATGGCAAGTTCTTGAGCAGCACCCCGACTTTGAACATAAGCCAAAGATCATCCTGAAGGGCCAGAACCCACATTTTCTTTTTTGAGTGCCCTCTGATGTTCCTGGTTGACAGTTTCCTCTTCCTCTCACCTCTCAGCTTGGAGAGCTGCAGACCACGGCCGGCAAGCACAGCGATGACCTGAGGAGCACCAAGAGTGAGATCGCCGAGCTCAACAGGACGATCCAGAGGCTACGGGCCGAGATAGAGAGCGTCGGGAAGCAGGTATCCCTCCGTGGAGGAGCTGGGCAGGTTCAGCGTCCCTGGGGTGGGCCACACTCTGCAGAATGCTCCCCCCAGGCTTGCTACCTGGTATTTTGATGACAAAGTCGGAGGGGCTGTCAAGGGAGGTCAGGCCCTACCCCTTTCATGTCCTAGCCCTTCACCCACGCAAACGTAGGAGGGTGTTAGTGCACACCCATCCTCCACCGGGGACAGCCCCCCAGGTCTCTGGGTGACAACCTAGAAAGTCTGGGTGGTCCTGTCATTCTCCCTGTGCTCGTCCCACTGAGCTGCCCACTAGTTCTCAAACCTTTTCAACACTCCCACTGTGGCAGCCAGAATGTCCTTTCCCATATCTGCAGCAATCTATCAAACTCCAGGTTTTCCTCCAACAATGGGCCGGACATCTCCTTGTCTATAAAACTCCTCCGCCTGCCAAGCCCTGCCCTCCCTGCCCCAGCGTCCCTTCCGGGTTCCATGGAGCCCTGTGCTTTCCACGCCACGTCATGGCCTTACGCTTTTCACATGCCTGCTCTCCTGTTCTCCCTGTCACCTGGAAGGGTGCCAGGCTCCGGGGCTGTGTCTTGTTCATTGCTGTTTCCTGGCCCCCAGTGTGAAGGACAGAGGGCAGGTGTTAGGGGAGAAGTTGAGGGTGGCTCCTCTGACCTCACCACTCACTTCCACTTGCCTCAGATCTGGGTTCTTCTCCCTCAAACCGAGGCCACTTGAAACCTCCTTCAAAGTCACTTCCCAAATGGGATGCTCTTCTCCGGCCTCATAGGGTTGGGGAGTGCTGGGGAGGGACAGATAGATGCGGACCTGTGCTCACCTCCGTACGCCCAGGTGAGTCCAGAGATCCAGCGCACTTCCTTTCTCTCTTCTTCCCCCAGAACAGTAACCTGCAGACGGCCATCACTGACGCCGAGAAGAGGGGTGAAACGGCGCTAAAGGACGCTCGGGCCAAGCTGGCGGAGCTCAGGGAGGCCCTGCAGCAGGCCAAAGATGACCTGGCCCGGCTGCTGCGTGACTACCAGGAGCTGATGAGCGTGAAGCTCGCCCTGGACGTGGAGATCGCCACCTACCGCAAGCTGCTGGAGGGCGAGGAGTGCAGGTGGGTAGGGGACCTCGGCTGTGGTGGGGAAGCCACTGTGAGAAGCAGGTTCACCAGGATCTTGTGTGCCTGGTCACATCGACAGTGATCTTCCACCTAGCTGCACCGGCCCCCGCCTTCCCTGTCATATCCCTGGTGTCCCCGCAGCAGAGCAGGGGACAAAGGAGGGCCTCGACAAATGTTTGTTAAACTTCCCTCACTGCTCAGCACTCTCTCCTTCCCCCAGCTCCTTTAAGGCCCAGGGATGCAAACCTGTTTTAAATTTCCACACATTCGAGCAGGTAAATCCTTTACTCGAAACAGGCATGCAGTGGACCCCAGGGGCAAACACCAGTCAATTTTGCATGTTTCTGGTTTTGATCAACCTTGCTCCTGCCGGCCTCTTCCCGTGGCACGCTGAGAGCACACTCTGCCATTGGCGTCACATGTTTCAGAGCAGCTGAGGTCATGGGATCAAACGGGGCATCTCATTAATTCCCGGTCTCCTCCCACCGAGGCATCATGAAATCCACCTCGCCCTCAGTCTTACCACTCTCCCCTGGTTCCCTATCCTAGTTTTCTACCATGGCTTTGGACATTCCTCCTGAGGTCTGACTTTAGTCTAGGCTGTTGCAGTTCATATTTGTGCTGTCTGGACAGTCAGTGGAAAGCGCCATGGAAAGAGCACTGGATTGGGAGTCCTACTTCTTGCCAGGCGACCACTAGGGTTTGCCTGTATTCACTGTGTGACCTTGGATAGGTTCCATCCGCTATTTGAGCCTCATTTTCCTCATTTTCTAAAAGAGAGGATCGGACTAGATAATCTTTGAGGTGTTTCTTAACGGTACATTTGGAGTGGTAAGGGGCTCTGTGTTTCTATAACTTGCGTTTCTTCTTTCTCTTTCTACAACAGGATGTCTGGGGAGTGTCAAAGCTCTGTGTGCATCTGTAAGTGTCTTGCGTACTTTTTCCTTTGAGGTCGGGTTAATATCATTGCTAGTGGGATGGCATAGCCACTGACCTTGGAATGGAGTGGCAGGGTCCATGCTTTCTCTTTGACAAGGAATAGGTCTGCATAAAATGAAGGCATTGCTGATTCCCACATTCCCGCCTCTGGAGCTGGGGCAAGAGAAAATGCATGCACTGCCGCTCCTCATGTCTCACTCTGCTGTAGCTGAGCTCGCTCGCCCACCACCTCCTGTGGCCACCTCACCTTCCAACACCCCTGTGCCTCTTACCGTCCATCCCTCAGCCCCGAGTCCCTCCACCTTCTCTGCACCTTTGTCTCTATCCCTCCACCACTTTCCAACACCTCGTGGGCAGAGGGGTGACAGGTCGTCTCCTTGCAGCTGTGGTTCACAACACCAGCACCATTGAGTCCGGAGCTGCCAGCCGCAATGGCAGAGGCAGTGGCTCCAGCATCCCCAGCTGCGGAGGTCAGAGCACAGGTCAGAGCGTCCAGACCATCAGCAAAGTCCCTGTGGGCCAGAGCTTGGGAGCCAGCAGTGCCTCCTCTTCCTCTGCCAGAATCATCCAGACCAGCAGCGCCAGCAGCCAGCGCACGTACGCCAAATTCTGAGCCGACGTCTCGCCCCTCCCCGACAGATGACCCTGCAGTCTAGCCCAGCCCCTCCTGCTTAGTTCTTCGCATTGTTGGGCTCCTCATGCCCCAGCCCCAGACACCCCAGGCTCTGGGCAGAGTTCCTTCCCCTCTTGTGGGTGCCGAGCCTCTGTGGGAAGGTACATTGTTGGATAACAGCCTCTCTGCTCCCAGCCCTGCCCTCGGCTTGGTTTGAGATGTGCCCTTACTCTCTCTCTCTGCAAGGTCTCTACTTACTCCTCTCCAATAAACTGCTGCATGTTTCACTGCATTTTCATTGATGAGTTTTATTGACTGTCACTCTGCATGGTTGGTAGGGTAAAGGTCAGGGGAGGAAGCAGAGAGGGGGAGAGAAAGAAGCCGTGTCCTCAGAGAGCAACCTGTTGGGGACAGAGGGCATCATGAGGCATAGGTAAGCAGAGGGGTGAGGTAGGATGGGGACTGCAGAGCCTGGCAGGGTGGAGATGGGACCAGCCCTGGCCCCGCTCCTGGAGCCCTGGCTCTCTGGCTTGGCTTCTGACATCTCATTTGGCCTCCCACTTTGCTGACTTGCTCCAACACTCCTGCCCCAGCTAACCGGCTAAGCGCTCCCAGGCCCCCTTGGCTCCTAGGTCTGCAGTCTGTTTGCTTCCCACCCACACTGCAGCCGCCTAAGCTTCCCCTTACAGTTCCAGCCCTGCACTGGAGCCACAAATCTGCACTGGCCCAGCTGGGTCCTGATCTCCAGCCCCTTGCAACGCACTGCTGGACCCTCAGACCCCCCACCCTGAGCTGAGCCAATCCTTGCTGCCCCCCCACAAAGGGAGTTCAGGGCTTCTCAGTCTCTGTACCCTCTTGGACCACGGAATGCTCCCACCTTTCCCCACCTGCCAGTCACCTTCCCTCTCAAGCCTGGCTCAGATGTGCAGCAGTGATGAGATGTGGGGATCCAAGGGGTGTGGCCTGCCCACCCCCTTCTGGATGCTGCATAGCCCCCGGGGGCCACATTGGCTGGCCCTCGAGGTAGATCCTCTGGGGGATGTTGACCTGTTTGATTTGGGGCAGACGACACCAGGGTCCACTCTCCTGTGATTCTTTTCACTTCTCTTGGGGAGGAGCGAGAAGACAAGTTTGACGCCCATGTTCCATTCACCCTGTCCTCTGCCACTGGGGTCCTGCTCTGCCAACCCACTGAAGTCTCCAGGGGCTTCCTCAACGTCCACATGGTGGCTCAGTTTGGTCATTTTCTTAATCTTTTGAGGCCTCTGACACCGTTGTCTGCCCCATTTCACCTCGTTTTCCCTCTGCCTCTCTCGCCCTGTCTTCTTGGTTCCTTCTGCTGTCTTCTCTTCCCCTGCCCACACATCGGATGCTGGAGCTCTGTGTCACTTTAAAAACCTCTTATGAAGCTACAATAAACATACAGAAAGGAGCACAGACCTCAAGTGTCCAGTGTGGTGAATTTTCTCAAGCTGAACCCAGCCAAGTAACCAGCTCCCAGAGCAAGGAACGGACATTCTCATCACCCCAGAAGTTCCTCCCTGGGCTCCCCTCCAATCACCGCCTCCACCCCCCAATCCCAGGAAATCATCATTCCAACCTCTAACAGCGCAGGTTAGTTTTACATGTTTTTGTACTTTCTATAGATGGAATCATACAGTTTGTGTCTGGCCTCTTTGTTCAACACAGAGGTAGTGAGAGGTACCTGTATTGTTGCAAGTGGTTGTAGCTCATTCATTCTTAGCAGTATTTCACCGTGTGGCTAAACCGCCGTTTATTTCCCTGTTTTACTACTGAGGGACATTGGCGTATATTCCAGCTTTTGGCCATTAGGGACACAGCTGCTATGAACATCCCACACATGTCCTTGGGGAGTCATGTATGCACTCCATGTCTTCATGTGTACCCAGAGGTGGCTTTGCTGTTGCACAGGGTATGTCGATGTCCAGCTTTAGTAGACACTCCAGACAGCTCCCTAAGTAGCTCCAGGTGTGCAGGACGGGCCTGGTTGCTCCAAATTCTTGCCAACGCTGGTATTTTCTTTCTTCTGCATTTCAACTTTTCTGGAGTGGGTGCTGTTAGATGTGTTTGTGGTTTTAATTTGCATGTGCCTTAGTGATTAATGATGTTGAGCCCCTTTTCACGTTTATTGACCATTGGGACCTCTTTTATGCCTGTTTTGCCCGTGTTTCTGTTGCGGAGTTGTCTGTATTATGTTGGATATATGAATTATGAATATCTTCTCCCACCCTGTGGGTTGCCTTTTCACTCTCTTAATGAAACTGTTTGATCAGCAGAATTATTTATTTTTACTTCTTTAAATTCATCATTTTGTGTGTGTGTGTGTGTGTGTGTGTGTGGTGTTTTTGTGTCCTGTTTAAGAACTCTGCTCTGTACTTTGAGGCCACGGAGACTTTCTCTGGTTCCTTTAGAAGCTTTACTGTTTTACATTTCACATTCAGATCTACAATCACATTTTGTGACTGATACATTTTTTCATCTGGATATTAAATTGGGGGTTTTATAACATTTAAAATATTGAAAGGTAAATCTGGTTACTCTTGACGGTGAACACACAGGTGTCTGCTATGCTGTTCTCAGTATGATTGTGATATTCTATAGTTAAAAATAAAATAAAAAATATTTAAAAATTGATGTTCCCTGGGTTCCTTCTTTGATTCCCTGTTCTGCTCATGCTACATACTATTCCTGGGTGTTTGCCTACTCCCATTTCATTCATACATCGATTCAAACTTCATCGAGCACCCATTTGTACCACAGGGGTGGTGGCCACAGAGATGGATATAACTTACAGTCTGGTATATGTAGGGACACACAAGTGTAGCAAAGTTCATTGGAATGGCTAATCTAAAGAACAGGTCAGAGCTCACACTGTCTTAAACAGGAATATTCCCTTTCTCCTGTCCTTTTTTAAAATCAACTTTATTGAGGTATGATTTGCACACAATAACGATGCACCCATTTTCAGAGTACAGTTCCATGAGTTTTGACAAAAGTATATCCCTGTGTGACCACGACCATGATAACGATATAGAACATCCTCCAAAATGCTGTCCGTGCCCCTTTGCAGTCAATCACTGCCAACTTCCAGCCCTAGGCTGGGGCTTGATTCTTGTCACTACTGGTTAGTTTCGCCTCTTTAGAGTTTTGTATAAATGGAATCATGCAGAGTGTATTCTTTTGTGTCTGGCTGCTTTGGCTCATCATGATCTTTCTGTGATCCATCAGACATTTGTACTGTGAGTGTTTTGCCCCAGTCAGTGGTTTGCCTTTTCATTTTCTTAATGATGTGTTTTGAGGCTCCCTGCCCCCTTTCCATCCTCCTGGTGGAGCTTTCCAATCATCAGCATCTGCTCCTGCATCTGAAGGCTGACTGTGGGCCTGGCCCCTGGGACTAGACAAAACTCTATGTCTGGTTTGGAGACAGGGGACTCTCTCTCGTTTTCCCCCCAGCCTTTAATGAAAATGTGGAATTCTCCTCCTTTAATAAAGTTGCTTACACGATAGGAATTAATCCATCAGAATTAAAGCAAATCGGAGCTTTAAAAAAATACAGGTGCCTGGGCCACACTCCCTGAGATTCTGACTCAGGTGGCCAGAAGTGGGGGTTGAGGATCTGCATTATTTAAAGCTGCCCGGTGGTCCCGATGTGAAGTAAGCACTGCCCATAGAGCGAAGTCCCAACTCCACAGCACAGCACGGAGAGACCATCGCGACCAGTTTCAGCCTACACCTTCAGCTCCTTCCCCATCATCTCTCTTCCTCCTCCTTCAGGTGCCCTAATTTGAAAATATGTGGGATCCCTTACCAACATTCCCCTACCACATCCAAAATTTCCCCTCTACCAGGGGTGCCTTTCTCGTATTGTCCACACCCTGGGTCCACTCCTATTCATCCCCTGATACCCGACTCAAAACTACCTCCTCCCTGACGCCTTCCATAGCCTTTCTTCCTCTCATGCCCATAGTACTTTGTTTGATCTGCTCTCAATAACACTGACCCCAATGTGCTCTAAGGAGTTGTTTACATGCTCAGCACCTCCTTCGACAGAACTGTGGGCTCCTCCAGGCCACGGACTGTGTTAGTCCATCACTGTGTTCTATCGGGAAGCCTGGTGCCCAATACAGCCAGGAGCTTGACACATCATTGCTGAGCGACTGAATGACTGTTTGGAGCGACGACTGAATGGATATCGGTCAATGTTGTATCTCTTAGAGGGAGGAAGTCCTAGGGGATATGAGGGCTGGAAACTCCTGCCTGAAGTCTCTGAACAGCGTGCAGGAGCACCCCTTATGCCTGACCTTTCATCCCTGCTCTAATTTTAATGCCTCTTGGCAGAAAGTAGGTTAGGATGGCATCTACCTTCTGACTGCATCAGTCTTCAAACCTGGTTGACGCTTAATGCTTTTGTCATCTTCATTTGGGGTCACAGGTTGTATGAAAGTATTTTGCCTATGCGTCACAAGAGGGTGTGTGTCTGCGTGCCATGTGTTTGCCCATTTGTCTGTCGGGTCAGATAAGCGAAAGGGCTTTAACAAGTTGGAGACACTCCACGAATGTCAGATACTATTAAGTACTGGCATGTATCCTCGTGAAGCTGTGGCATGGCTTTCTTCAGGGAACCAAGAACTTCCTGAGTTGTATAAGACCACTGCTAATGAAGGGATTTGGGATGGGCCTCATTAGAGTCCCTAACCTCCACCCCAATCTTTTTGGGATTTATTTTTAAAATGCAGACTAACTTCTCAGTGTCTTCAAGCTGGACCAGGTCATTGGTAGTTGTCAGGGGTGGAAACCAGCTAATTGTTCTGTAGTGCTCCCCTTTGATAGCAAGGACCTGAGAAATGACAAGAGGGGACAGGAGGACTGTGGAGGACATTTCCTCACCTGCTCCCAGGGTATCTTTTTTTTTTTTTTTTTGAGACAGAGTCTCACTGTGTTGCCTGGGCTAGAGTGCCGTGGTGTTAGTGTAGCTCACA